CAAGGAGGGAAGAATATGGAAAGGAGAAAACTAGAATGAACTCAGTGAGTTTAGATTGAGATTGAAGGTCTCAAAGGAACTCACAGATTCCAACATAGAAAGATATAGAAATAAACAGTGATGTGAATATTGTTTGTGCATGTATGCAAACATATACTCCCCAGCCTTGCCCACTGAGAGGGTCTGGGAGCAGGGCTAGATCACCTGTAAGAGTTTTGTGGATCATTCCAGCCGACTCCAGAATTTGCTTTTTCCATGTCCACCAGCATTTAAAGTCTATGTCTGTTTTGTGGATGATGCTGATTTTTTTTAGCTTTATTGAGTTTTAATTGACATGTTAAAAATATATAAATACAGGGGCTGGGTTGTGGATTGGGGCTAAGTTGTGGCTCAGTGGTAGAGTGCTCGCCTAGCATGTGCAGGGCCCTCAGTTTGATCCTCAGCACCACATAAAAATATTGTGTCCAACTACAACTAAAAAATAAATTTAAAAAAATATATATATACACACACAATCATATTTAAGGTGTACAACTTCATGTTTTAAAGAACAGCAGAACAATGAGGTATTTGACATTTACCCTAAAAGGTGGGGGTCATTAGCTCTGTTTCACAACTCATGAAACTGAGACTTAGAGAAAGGAATCAATTTTGTCCGTAGCCACATGGCAGTGACAGACAGAGCTAGGGACCTGACCTAGATCAGAGAGTGACAGAAATCCTTCAGAGAGAGAGTGAGAGACCCAGGCACTGAGGCAAAAGAACAGAAAACAAAGAGTTAATACCTAAGTACAAGACAGAGAGTTGGAGCCTGAGAACCCTGGGCATTGTCTCAGAACCTCTGTGAGCTACAAGATCGATCAGGTCACCAGGGAAGAGTCAATAGAGCAGGGCTGGATATAGAGCTCTGAAGGAAAGGACTCTTCTTTGAAGCAAACAACTCAGACCTCAGACTCCTCCTTCTCTGCAGGGACCTGTGAGATAGCAGTATCCAGGCAAGAAGAGGGGCAGACTGGCTTTAACCTCTTAATTGGCCTTTTATTACCAACTAGCCCCATTTCCACTCCCAAGTAGCAGCATGTCACAGGAAGGGACTTTCAGTTCTACCTGGATCATCCTGTACAGAGACAAGACAAAGCTAAGGCTTCCTCAGCTCCAGGGTCTGTGATAGCTTGAGGTGTGACACTCACCTTAGGGTAGGGCTGGCAGTAGAATGCCATCTCCCCCGTCCCCATGCTGTGAGAGACCTCTCACACTGGCCACGGATGGAGGAAAATGAATCCTAGCTTCCATCTGGGCTGAAGAGTAAGGGACACATGATGTTTAAGGTGGGAATGAGAATTTGAGGGGCTGGGGGTATAGCTCAGTTGTTGAAGTGCTTATCTTACACGCACAGGCTCTAGGTTCAATCCCTAGCACCACCAAAAGAGAGAGAGAGAGAGAGAGAGAGAGAGAATGAATTTGATTGGACTCTCTAACAGCTTCCTGTTTGGGTCTCAAATTCTTACAAGCTATCCTCAGGGATACAACCCCAGTTGTGCAGGGAGACAAGATTATGGGCTTGTGGTGGGTGGGCTCTTCTTAATCATGGTGATAAGGAACAAGCCCTGAGCAACTAGGCCCAGCTGGGTGAAATTCCTGGCAAATGTACCGCCATTGCCATGACCCCCACCCTGAATTTCTACTTTACACAGTTTCGGAGAGAGTGTGCCATTTCCTAGACCAAGCATGAGTGATGCCCCCCTGGGGTTTGTCAGCCTTATCAATCTGTAACCCCTACTTTCCTACCTTTGGAGACATTGCTAATCAATTATAGTCTGCTCAGTCTAGACAAGGAGCTCAAACCCTTCTCTACACAGAGCTTCAGATAACCCCTCAATTCTTTAGCATTAACATACTTGATGTCAAGTATCTCTCATCATCTACCATGTCCTTCCGCAGTTTGTCAAACAAAGGAAGTATTTGGAAGATCACTTCACTGCTTTATTGGGAGGGGAATACACTCTGTCACAACACAGGGCCCTGAGCCCAGCAGGATCTCCAACTCGAGATGCAGCTGGCTGGCTGTGACTCGGTATTGGCCTTTGATGAGACCCCGGGAAGCACAGGTGTGGCACCTCCAGTAGGCCTGGATAATACGAACAGCATTGAGCACCTGGCAGTAGCGCTGACGGATGCGCCACATGCGGGCCCAGGACTGCAGTCTGACTGCTGCCCACTCCTCCCGTGAAAATTTATCAAGTGTCACCCGGCGCCTCTTCTCTGCAAATTTTGCTTGCATCAGCCTCCACCAGCACTGAATGACCCAGGCCCTGAGGGCAGCGTGTAGCAGTGTCCTACGCACCAGTGTGCCCCGCCACCAAGACTGGATCTTTATAACTGCCTTATCTTCTTTGGAGATCTCATCCTGGATCACTGGAGCCTTGCAAGAAAAAAAGAGGAGACATTCAGAGAATGTTCCCCACCCATTTCAGTCTAAGGTGTTCCAGGAAAGATTCTGAGTCCCTAGAAACCCTTCTAAAATTGGCTGGAACAAGAAGAGCAGGTCAGTGACCTGCCTCTGTCACCTTCTGCTTAATGGTTACAATCATATCACCTTGCCCTTTGAGTCCTAGTCTCAGTCTGTAAAATGGGAATACACCTTCCCTGGCAATCAGTTTTCCCATAGATCAGGTTAGCCAAGCTACAGCAAAACTCTATGAGTCCAAAGACTATCATGATCTGCCCGAGCCTACCCACTACCTAACCAAGACCCATATCCCTTTAGACCCTCCCACCAACTGCTGGGGTGGGGAGTGGCATCCTTAAATCATCCTGCCCTCATTCTTGACTCTACCTCATTTTACAAACTACTCCCTCCCTGTCAAGTCCGGGTATTAAAAGTTTTACCCAGCCAGGTGTGGTGGTGCACACCTGTAATCCCAGCTGCTCAGTAGGTTGAGGCAGGAGGATCACGAGTTCAAAGCCAGCCTCCGAACTTAGCAAGTCCCTAAGCAACTCAGCGAGACCCTGTCTCTAAATAAAATATAAAATGGGCTAAAATACAAAATATAAAATGAAAAAAAAAGTTTTATCCAACCCAGAAATATCAACCTCTCATCTCTTCCCCCATCTTCACTTCTCTTGACTTTCATAGTTTGAATTAGTTCAACACACACACACACTTACACACACACACACACACACACAATTCTAACAAAGCCAAGCTTCTCACATCTTGGTCACTCCATTTCATAAACACAACAGTCCCAGCCCCAGCCCCAGCCCACTATGGTCTGAGAAGTCATACTTTTATTAAGTATGACTTACTTCAGTATTGTCCGTTTTCTGTGTCTCAGCCAGAATATCAGTCTGAAAAGGAAACAGGGGAAAAGGATAAACAAGAATGAGTTTATTCCTCTTGGCTTAGGACCATGCAAAAGACATTAGGCACAAGCATTAGGACCCAAGGATCAGTGACACTTAAGGCAAGGCTCCTCCTACCTCTACCTCTGATGGGTTCTCTGATAATAAGGGATTTTCATCTTTATCTTCAGGCTGCTCCTCCTCCTCCTGCAATCAGCAGTTAGGAGAAAAGTAAGAGTAAGGCTGTCATCCCTCTCTCTCCATTCAATAGCCCACACATCCCCAGAGTTTCCCAGAGTCTTCAGATGTCAGAGGGTCCCTGCCTCCTGAAATATCTATGGGGGCATCCTTAAAAAGCCTAGTGTATCTGGCTTTCTTGTATTCACCATTGGTCACACAGGGATTGGGTGTAGATGGTTCAAATCCCCCTCAGGTCTGAATTCCTCTAGCCATGGCATAAGCAGAGAGAGTTGAGGAGGGAGATCTATGATGTCATAAGGGCTGCTATGACTCGACACCAGATGAATCCAACAGTTGAGCCCTCGCCAAGGAAAAGACAAAAGTGCTGCCTTTTTTTTTTTTTTAACCATAAATGGCCAAAGCCTGGCTTTAAAGCCAAGGCAGCACAAATACTAGCCCATTGATATACAAGCATATAATGATAGTCAGTTATTGGTAATAACATTTAATTGAAAAACTTAAATATCCACCAATTGGAGGTTACTTTGGTGGTTTATAATCTGTTTATATCTTAGAATACTGTATATTAAAAATAGTGAGTTGATCTATTATTACTGATGAGGAATTATATCCAAGATGTATATATAAGTGAAAAATTAAAGATCACTATGATCCCATTTACATGATTTGAAAATGAATATAAAGGAGAAAGGTAAATACAGAGAGTGTTACCAATGATTACTGTGTTAGTTTTTCATTACTGTGACAAAGTACCTGGAAAAATTAACTTAGAGGAGGAAAGATTTATTTTGGCTCACAGTTTCAGATATTTCAGTTCATGGCTGGCTGGTTCCATTGTTTCTGGGCTGGTGGTGAAGCAGTACAACATGATAGAAGAGCATGGCAAATAAAAACTAACTTATGGCAGCTAGGAAATAGAAAGGGGCCAGGGACAGTATATAGACCCCAAGAACATGTCCCAGGAACCCAGTCCCTTTAGCTAGATCCCACTTCCTATAGTTTCTTCCCCCAGAAAGGAGGAAGAAATGCTACTTCATGAAAATATCAAGAATTTCACCACCAGTTAGGAGATAGAGGGCCACAGAGACTATAACTTGGTCGGTAACCATAACATGAAAACACTGGATGAACTAAAAAAGAAAAATAGCAATTTTCTTTAAGTTGTCAAAGAAAAATAGATACAAAAAGTGCACATAAATTCAATTTCAATCCTTTTCTAGTTCATGACTGTGGTTATTTACCAAAACTCTGGACACAGGGACAGAGAGCTGTGAGCCTTCCAGATGCAGAGTAATGTTGTGGGGTTGAGGAGAAATCAGTTGAACATTCAATGACTGCACATGAGCTGCTAGAGTAACCAGAATCTGCAACCATGATTTTCTCCTTGGGACTCCATCAGACCGGAGACCGGTCTGGCAGGCAAAACAAGATCTCCAGTCTAATAGTGCAGTGATTCCATACTTATGCTGGAACTAAAGGGTCTAATCCCACCCTCAAGACACCTGAAACCGAGATGAATGAAAACTAGGTAGTGACAACTCAGTCCCAATCTAATTGAACTCCTGTTTAATGGGAAAATGACCTAGCTCAGTCTCTAATACATTTATCCAGTGTTTGGCATATATTTTTAAAAAATGAGACACATGAAGAAGCTGGGAAAAGACTGTGACTTGTAACCAAAAGGGAAAAAATTAATAGAGGAAGACTCACAGATGACTCATATGTTCAAATTAGCAGACAAAGACTTTAGAATATCTAATATGATATAAATATGGATGGAATGGATAAATATTTTAGAGGAAAAGGTGGAAAAATGAAAGAAAAGATGTAAGATTCTGATGATGCTGTGGTTTGGATATGGTTTGTCCCTTAATACTTGTGCATTAGAAGTTGGCCCCTACAGAGGCAAAGGGAGATCTTTAAGAGGTGAGGACTACACGGAGATAGCTCCTCAGGTCCTTGGGGTCACTGCCCTTGGAAGGGAATGTTGTTTACTGGACTGAAATTCTCTCAAGAGGAAGATAGTATAAGAGTGAGGCTGACCCCTGACTTGCTCTTTAACTTCCTGTTCAGTGATATGATCTCCCCCTTTCATACATGCTCCTGCCATCCTCCATGAAATGCTCACCCAGAAGTACGGTGATATCAGCACCGTGCCTCTGAGCCTCCAGACTGAGCTAAATAAATCTCTTTTCTTTAGAAAGTTATTCTGCATCAGCTAATTCATTATAGTAACAAGCTATTACAGGCAAACAAATGGAAAATCTTTTTTAAAATAACAAAAGAACTAAGTAAAACCTCTAAAACTTAAAAATAAAGAATTTAAAGAGAAAAGTGAATAATATAACTAAAAAGATGAAGGATATTGGCAAACAAATGGAAGCTCCAGAAAATGGAACAAAAGAACTAAATGGAAATTCTAACATTGAAAAATACAATGTACAAAATACTGGATTATAAAACCTCAAGGCAAATCAAAAAATTATGCAATCTTGTGCTAGTCAGCTTTCCAGTCCCATGACAAAATACCTGAGAAAATCAACCTAAAGATCTGGCATGCTTTTGGAGAGGTTGGCAGCATGGTGCTGGAGGCCTGCAGGCAAAGCAATTATGTCAAACAAATTTACTATTCAGACAAATATGACAACAAGGAGTTCAAGTACTGGCATGTCATGTTGCCCAAGGACAGAGCCAAACTGGTCCCTAAAACCCACTGAATCTGAATGGAAGAATCTTGGTGTCAGGGATGGGTTCATTATATGATCCATGAACCAGAACTTCATATCTTGCTATTTTGGCAGCCACTACCCAAGAAGCCAAAGAAATGAAGCCTCCAGCTTTACATAGCTGCCCTAACTTTCTGATATCTTTCTAATAACATGATCATGTTTCCTTCTTGTTTTCTACTTTTATATTTAAAGGATACTCAATACACTGTATGAATGTGCTGATAAGGCTTTGTCTGTGGAATAGAGCCACCACTGCTGGCTCAGATGAGTGCTTTGTGGCCCACAGCCTTAGCCACAGTGTGCTTTGTATCCAGCAGAACACACTTGGCAGATGGATAGAGCATCTGAGAATCAGACCGTGCTGTTACAGGGATTGTGTAAACTTGCTGTTTTGTTTTTTCCTGTTGGGTGTTGTTATGTATGGTGATTTATGGATTTATGTTTCATTGTATTGGAAACTTTCCATTTTAATTGATAAATCTGTTCCACATTAAAAGCCTTGATTAAAGTGGAAGTTTTTTATAATCTAAAATAAATTAATAGATAAATAAATAAATAGATGGAAAGATTTATTATGGCTCATAGTGGCAGAGGTTTTAGTCCATGGTTAAGTGGCTCTATTGCTTCTGAGCTGTGAAAAGCAGAACATCATGGCAGGGAGCATGTGGTGGAACAAAGCAGATTACCTTGTGGCAGTCAGGAAACAAAAATAAAGTGAGAAAAGGGCTGGGGATATAGCTCAGTTCAAGCATTCACAAGGTCAGATTTCATTTGACCTCATGATTCAAACACCTCCTAAAGACCTTAACTCTGCATTGGAATCCAAGCCCTAAACCCATGAATGTAATAATCACATATAGGCACAAATAGTCAAATTGATGAAAACCAAGGATTAAAAGAAAATTGTAAACTCAAAAGCAGAGAAAAAGGCCACATTACATTTAAAGAAATAATAATAAAAATGATAGATGACTTGTCATCAGAAACAAATGGAAGCAAAAGAAAATGGAATGACGTTGTAAAGTGCTAAAGAAGAAGAAAGAAAATAAAAGCCAACCTAAAATTTGATACCCAGAGTAAACATCCTTCAAAAATAAAGATGGGAAAATAAAATATAAGAAGATATGTTCTTATCACTTCTCTTTAACAATATACTAAAAGTACTGACCAGTGTAATCAAGCAAGAGAATGAAATGTAATGTCTTAAAGAAATAAAATTGTGCTGAGTGCCGGGGCACATACTGGCAACTCAAGAGGCTGAGACAGGAGCACTGCAAATCCAAGGCCAGCCTCAGCAACTTAGGAAGGCCCTAAAAACTTAGTGAGACCCTCCCTGTCTCAAAATAAAAAATAAAAAGGGGTGGAAGTAGCTCAGTAGTAGATTACCACTGGTTCAATTCTCAATGCCAAAAAGAAAGAAGAAAAATTATGCTATTCATATATATCATGGTTATGTGCATAAAAATTTTCACAGAAGGAGCTGAGGACATAGTACAGTGTAGAGCACTTGCCTAGCAGGTGCAAGTTTTGCACACTACCAAAAATCCTAATAAATCTAATATAAAAAAGCTACTAGAACTAAAAAGAAAATTTGGCAAATTTGCAAGATGTCCATTGTGATGATTACATGTATCTGTAGATATTGTAAAAACCATTGAAAGGTACATATTAAATGGGTGAATTGTATCATGTGAATTATATCATAATAAAATTAATTAAGAATAAAAAAAGGCCCAGACTGGTGGCAGCTTGTGAGGCTGAGGCAGGAGAATCACAAGTTCAAAGCCAGCCTCAGCAACTTAGCAAGACCCTATGCAACTTAGCAAGACCCTGTTTCAAAATAAAAAATAAAAAGGGCAAGGGATATGGCTCAGTGGTTAAATGCCCCTAGGTCAATACCCAGTATCAAAAAAGAAAAAGAATAAAAGGCATCATTTTTTTTAAGATACAAAGGAAATATAAAAATTCAACTGTATTCTATACATCAATGAACTGTTGGGAAATTCTTGATATAGTAGTAAAAAGGTGAGGG